CATTTGATATGGCAAAAGTATTTTTCCTTCCGAGATTGGGCGTTATATTTGCTTGGCGCCTTTTTTCTTTTCACAAACTCGCTCCCCGTGGCTAAAATAAATAAATAGAATAAAAAAAATGACAGTCTGCAAACAAAAAAACTTCCTGGGCTTAGGAACAGTTTTTCAGCTCACCAACGCTTCTCGTCTAGTATTTATCATGCAACGTGATGGAATATGTGGCGAAAGGAGGAAGTGATGTTAGTTACGGGCGTGGCTGCCCGACAACATCCTGCTTCGGTTACTCCACCATTTGTCCTTATAGTGATGCATCAGAAGCCGAAACAGGTGGACGAGAGGAGTCTTAGTGCACTAATACTGGTGATACTTGTAGCATTTTCTTTTCTTGAAAACTTATTCTTGAAAGGCCGTCCATTCCCAAACTGTGTTTGTGTAGTAAGTGGTTCAGTGGCTGCAGCCAGATTTTGGATGAACACTTTGTATCTTTAACTATTTGTTGCTCTATCATTAGAACCATTATGGGTCCTTGTATTTATGAGAACACGTTTCTTTTAGGTGTCGGCTTTCAAATCGATTTGTATATGCGATTAGTAACAGGGTCAAGGGAACTGATTTGGTAACTTCATTCTCCTGTCACATACCAAAATTTTTGATCTTAAAGACTATCAAGGCAGAATTGTTAAGTAGTATTAAAAATAACAACAATACTGTGTTATTTCCAGTATCATTCCTAAAAGGGCCATTTGGTTTAGTTCAAATATCATTTTTCTAGCGGTAAGTGTGTGTGAGCGGTTGGTGCTCTTTGATCCTAATAATTTAAACTACGACGGCGCACAAACCCGAAACGGAAAGGAATGGAAAGGAATGATAAGGAACACTCCTCACCGACAACAAATCTTCTGTCAGCGTGCGGATAGGAAAACCAATCTCAAGGCATGTCGGTGACTCACCTAGTGTGACACTCCCATGATACGGATACTGGACAGACAGATCTGCAGAGCTTCGGCTTGCCTCCCCACCCACACGAGGAAGAAGAGCAAGCGCTCGATCGCCTTCCAATGGCTTTTGCAGAGAGGGAGTCTCAACATACGGTAAAGGATAAGTGGAAAGATGTACATGGAGCACACCTCACCCTTAAAAGGACAACCACCTTCGGAGCCAACTTGGACCGATGCTCCTACCTTTGCTAGCACCTCCGACCAATTTTTCTCCAGCTGAAGTTTCAGCTTGAACTACACTTCAAGAATGGAGACAGGGCCGTCAGTCCAACTGAAGAGCCTTGAAAGAGCAACGCCCTTCCAAGCACTTAATCACAAGATGGAAGACTTGTAACAGTTAATCTTGGTCCTGTGTCCTCTCATCGTTCAAGCGCCTTCTGCACCACTTCAAACTCGCTGCGGCATAGCACGAAAATTGATACATCATCGGTGTACGTGGAAACCGTGACTCGAGCACCACCAGGGACACGATTCCGTGTAAGGTCGGACTGTACGCCTTGTCCCTCAGCCGATGCAGGAGAGGCTCCAACGCCAAAGCATTAGGACGACAGCAGACAACCCTGATCGTGACAGCGCAAAAGCGTTCGACTGCTTCTCATTCACCTGTATCACCGCACTGGGGAGCAATATAGTAGGCTGATCCACTTTCAAAAGTCGTGTTTGAATCCGGCAGCCTGCAGAACAGCCGCCATTTCCTGATGGTCAACCCTGTCGAACGCCTTGGACTTATACAAATGGATCAGCGCAGCTTCATCGTCGTCGTCTACTCCATCTATTATTGTGTGGATCAGATGCAGGTTGCTTTGAATTGTTCGGCCCTTTACAGCACAAGTCTGCTTCGGTCCCAACAGAATCTCGGCAATTTACTGTAATCGCTCCCTCAGTATCTTGGCCAAAATCTTTAACTCTGTGTTTAGTAGAGTTATGGGCCTGTAGTCGTCTAAATACGGTCCAACATGCTTGTCCTTTTTCAACAATGTGATCGCACCCCCGGAGATCAACAACTTCAAGTACAATTCAGACCATCACATCCTGGAGTCTTGCCACTGCCGACTCTCTTCAATGCCTCGTGGACTTCGCCCTCTGTGATCACACCCTCACAGCCAGCCGCTTCAGTCGAGGAAAGTCCCAAGTCAGACTAAGTGCCTTCACCTTCTTAACCTTATCTAGAGCGAGTCGTAGGCTAAAAGGTATTGCTGAATGTAACACGTAATGAAAGTCGGTTAATTTTTAATCAACCTTTCTTGATTTTGAACCAAAGGCTTTACAATGCATAGATAGAAAACCCTGACTTGAGACGAAGGGTTGGTACTGATGTAATTTACATCTTTCTAAGGCTTCTATCTGATGATGATCGATGGAATAGTTGAAAATACTTGTACACACCCCCTCTCAATTCAACTATATGAACTATTCTTTCATGGATTTCTATATTGTAAAGCGTTTTTAGTTCGAAACTTGTTAAATTCAACAATACCTGCATATACACAAAATTAAAAAAAAAAAAAAGAAATAAGAATTATTTTAATGACCTGTTATTGCAAACTTTTTTACCCTAAGAATCTCTGGGGAAAAAGAATTTCTTAGAGACAACAGGACAGCAATCCTAACAGCGTTCTTAGAAACAACAGCAAGCACACCATTACAGTTTGAGGGTGCAGTGTGCTTGACTTTAACGTCGTACTTTAATCAAAATTCATCATTGCTATAAAAAAAACAACAACCAAAAACAAAACAAAAAAACAACATTCTTAGAAACTTAAATATTTTCTATTTAACTCAATGCAATAAATGAATATCAACTTTTGTTAGATTTTGCATGAATTAAAAAATTGCCTTGATAAATTGAAAAAAGAAATTGAAATCTACTTGAACAAATATTGAACGCATTCATTGCAGCCAACTAATTGATAGTTCCCTGTAGATATGTAATAAATAAATACATCATTTAGTTAAATCTGCAACAACCTTCTTGTTCTTCTCGGAAAAAGGATTCTCTCTACTGGCGGGACTCCCTCTTTCGGTATATAACACATATTTCTACCAATAAAAAAATGTTTATAGATCTTTGTGCTATGGCTGTTTACTGGGTTAAATTTTGTGTGGCATAAGAAAGGCCATATCGGAAGGTGAATGGTTGTTGGTATTATTTTCACGCAAAAAACCCCCCCAAAAACAAAACAAAAAAAAACAAAAAACAAACAAAACAAAACAAAAAACTACCTTTCTTGAAAATCAGTATTCTATTCAAATACTTTTACTTGGGCTTGAACGCCAATGGAAATTTACTGAGAAATGCAAAACTACCTCAACCACCAAATAGGCCCCATATTCATTATACATAAATCAACAACTCTGTTGTAGTCTGATGGGGAAATGCAATTATCTATTATTTTTCAACATAATCTCTTTCTTTGTCAAAGCTCTTACATTGTTCAGATTGAACATTATACAATGAAAGTTTCAGAACCAAATTACTTATTGTTCTACTCTCGATTCTATATGCGTATTTTTACACAAGAAATTCTGAGGGAGAATTTTTGTTTTTAAAGCATTTTGCTCTTTAGCTGCATTTTTTAAGCAATTTCATATATAAAATTCATCCAAATGTCTGTGTAGAGAGTTTTTTCTCATTGATTGTATATACATTTTGCACGCATTTTGATACGACTAATTTGAAAATAAATAAAAAATCTCTAATTCTAGCTTTTTAAAAAAAAATTTCATGTTTTTGCTACGTTTCATGACAGCAATTTTTTTTTATTGAAAACTACCGAATTTGTATTTTTTCTTTCCATTTGCAAAACATAATATTTTTATTGATGCCCTCTGAAGATTAATCTGGTTGCAAAACACGTCTCTGCTTTCTCCCCCTTTTTTCTTCTCTATTTAAAAATGTAATTTTTGCGAGCAATAGCAACATATGGATTATTACCTAATGTGTATTAGGGCCAAGGGTACAGATAGATAGAGTATAATTGACTGAGTTCTTGTTAGAGAATAGATGCAATAGTTAAATTAAGTATGTTTGTATGTAAATTCTAAATTAAATAATAAAAAAAGTAATTAGAATTGCTATTGGATTGGTACAACTACATTTTTACTGTTTTGTTATAGAAGTAGTTTTTTTAATCTGTAGCCACAGTAGCTAGAGAGTGAATCTGGCAGTATCTGCACTAAAAGTGGTCTCATCAAGCAAAGTAGTCGTATTACGACTACTTCGGTTGAAACCACGCCGTTAATACAGATTTTTTAAAAGTAATTTTCTGTTGCTATAGTTTTTAAAATGATCTTCTTGTTTATAGTAAGATAATTTAAAAACCTACTCAACAATTTCTCTCTCTCTTCATTTTTTGGTTGACAACATAATGCACCAGTTATTAAAGGAGAAAGAAAGATTAAAAAAAAATCGCTGTCTTCGGGAGGTCGAATACAGGCTTACAAATAATCAGTGTGCACACCGACTGATTGCTTTCTTCTGGTCTGTGAAAAATTGAACCAATAGACACGAACTTTAACCAACGATGTCTAAACGTAAAAGCAGCATCCTTCGTGTGTACAATCAACATAGAATGAGCCTTGGTTATCAACATTTGTACACAGAATAATCGGTTGAGTTTCTGAATCAGCAGCAGTAGCCGCAGTCGGTTTGCAGTAGTATCAGCAGCAGCTGCAGTAGGGTTTCAGTAATGTCAGCATCCCTATGATGAGAGTAGCAGTAGAAGTATAATCAGTGAAAGTAATATGGTTGGCAGTAGCAGTAGTTGTTGTGTGTGTATGAAAGCTGCATTTGGGCTGCCAGCAGCAGCAATCGAAGGATCGAGTGTAGTGTGAGTGAGTCGATATTTAGCAGACTCCGCCTCAGCGTTAGTCGCAGTGGCAGTGGGTGGCCAGCCAACAGCACATATACACACAGACACATACATCCACAGACTCACTCACACACACATCCATCCATCCATCCATTCACACACACAAACACACACATATTAGTCTTTAGTAATGGCGGCTACCACGACAACTAAGGTGTTGTCTGTATTCAGACGGGGGTCCTGCAATTCGCCATTCTCTGCTTCTAGGATTTTATTTACCGGCAAAAATCTTCAGGTAACTAATTTTCAGAAGACCAAAAATCTCATTTGGCTTACCTCACTGGAATTTATTATTTATTTATTTATTTCTACAGTTGGAAGTGTTTTTTTTAAATAATCCATTGCTCTTTCCCTCTCTCTCTTTCTCATCTTAAATGACTGGCAAGTGACGACGACCGTGACAATGTTTTTATTTTGTCAAAACTAAAAAGATTTATATTTTTATTTTATGTTATAGCAAACTTATAAAAAAATAATAATCTTTGCTTCTGTTGATCAGATTTTTTTTTTTCTTCGATGAAAAAATAATGCATATTTGTTTATTTGTTGCGCAGAGATTATGTCTTTCATGCCATTTGAAAATTGTCTAAAATCAACAAAGGTTTCGTTTACTAATTTTTTTAAACACTTTTTTCAATTTTATCATTTAATTTACAAGACATTCTTTATTCCTTTGTATAAATATTTTGTTATTTAGACTATGCAAAAATAAAGAAAAAAAACTTTAAAGTTGTTTCTATCTCTTGGTTGCACCAAACTTCTTGAAGAGAAACTTGTCTTGGAAAATTTCTTGTTCGTCTGCTTTTATTCATTATGTTTTCTCTTTACCGATTTTTCTAATGATAGAAAATATTTTTCCTATTTAATGTCCATCTATTTATATATTTTCGGATCTTTTGTATTCGACATCGGATTGAAAAAATTTAAAATTATGGTAAATTGAATAAAAAAATCGTGAACGATTTTATTTTTATTGCACTTGTTTCACGTCGTCTGCTATTGTTGTTAAGTTCTTCTTTCATTCATCTTTTTTCTTTCATACTTTCAAGATTTTACTAATGTTTTCATAAACTGAACAATATTTTAAGTTGTGTTGAATTATAAAAATATAAGGCAGTGATTAATGAACATTTCATAATGTGAATCTCTCTTTCTCTCTGATTTTTGTCATGTTTAAAAAGAATTTTAAGATGGAAAATAATTTTTAAACTCATTGTTCATAGATAACCATCAGTGTCGTTGTAATGGTAAATTATACTATAAAATAAATGAATAGTTTTCTCTTTTAGTAATTAGTAGAATAGTAGGACTCACCGGTTAAGTAGCAACCTCAAGATTTAAGTTAAAAAGAGAAAGACTAAGTGATACAGTAAAGAATCATTTAAATGGTAATTGAAATAATTTCAGATTTGGAAAAACAATCCTACCTTTCTATCTTTGTGTAATTACGATAGAAAGTGTACACTTTTAATTTTAGCCCAGGAAAAATATTTTTATGAAGTGGGGGAAGGGCAAATATTTAAAGAAGCCGGTTCATATGCACTGTTTCTCAATCTCTACACTTCTTGTTTATTCCTTCCTTGGTAATAAATAATGTCTATTGTGTTTCACTGTAGTAAATCTCAAACAAATCATCAGATTAAAAAATATTAAATTCCAAAGTTATATCATTTCTTCTTTTTGTATAATTTTATTTTTTTTAATGTAATCTTTCCTTTTTTTCCCTGATCGTCAGTGACTCTCCCCCCTCCAAAAGAAAAAACAACTTTTTTCTTAAATATTTGACTGTAGAGAAAAAGTGAGTACTACCGAAAGATAAGAAAGATTATTTTTCTGTTATTACAACCCTTTTCTCTGTCTTTACATTAAAAGAAAGAAAGAAAGAAAGAAAGAAAAAAATGATAAGAAATGATTGTTGTTAGTTATTATTATTATTATTATAAATTATTCCTCCGGTAGCAACTTTCCTTTCTCTCCAACAAGGCCAAGCTGACTCTTTTCTTACCTAAACCTACTTACTTCTTCCTTTTTCTTGCATAGGGAAAAATCTTGTTTTCTTCTTCAAAAAAAGATCAATCACATCAAAGATATTTTACTTTTTTTAACTAAAAAAGTAATGAATGTTAAAAATTTATTCTTAATGAAATGCTAAAAAAAACAAAACAAAAACAAACATTGCTTTTTTTTTCCTTTCTTTAGTTTTATGTAATATTGGAAAACAACAAATTAACTAACAGAATAAGTGATTTTTTTTTGTTTTTCTATTCAATAATTTACCGTCAAATATTATCTTGCATATCTATGAATAATAACTTTTTTGTTGCTTAGCAGTATTACTCCGGTTACAATAACAATGCAATTGAAGCTCTCAAATCTAGATTCAACAAGGGATTGGCACTTATGAGTTTTTTATTTATTGCAAACTTGTTGATACTCTTTCTTTTACTATGGATCTATTGAAAAAATAAGTATATCGGTCAGCAACGATATGTTACCTGTTTGTTTAAAATAACATTGATTGACAAGGAAAAGCATGTTAATCAATAGTTGATCATGAAATCCGAAACAAACCGTAATTCTTCAAGCCTTGAAGGAAATTGTTGAATTGTATGGCGGGGGGGGGGTCGAAACCGTGTTTCTTCATTTGTAATGAAAACATTTTTTTAAAGACTTTTTTTTTTTTACTTACTCACAAACTTGTGTATAATAAAAACTGAAGTAATATTTGTAGAGTACAGAGGGTGGGGAGATCTAACCAATTAAAATATAAATTATATGAGCAACTTCTTCTTGACACTTGTATTTTTTTATGACCCCGTCATTCTCTTATTTTTACTACTTCTTTAAAATGCTTCTTTTAATTTGTTTTTTAATATATAAATGTAGAAAGTTATATTTGTTTTTGTTGAATTATTAATTTTTTCTTTCTCTAATTCTATTAAATAAAAATCCCTTGTACTTCATTGCAATTCGAGCACTGGTAAATCGAAAAAAAATTCGTTCGTGACTAAGTGTAAAAAAAAAAGTTAACCTGTGAGCTTTAATAGAAAAATAAGCTCGTCAATAGTAATTTAATGATCAAATGATGTGATTTTTTGTTTTGTTAAAGTTTAATTTTTTTATTTTTAGAGTCGAAAACTGTGTACTGTTGAATTTTAGCTCTCAAAAGTAAAAAAATCCCAAAAAACCGCCTTTTGACACTATGTTTAAAAATTAAAAGTACACTGGTTACTTTTAATAAAAAAAAAAACAACTTATTTCATATTTCTAAAAATAAAACTATTACTTCTAACGTACAAAAACGTCTATTTTTACAATGCTGCAGAGAAAAAGTCGTAAAATGTAAATTTTACAAAAAAGAGCGAACACCGAATTTTTTTTTTTTTTTTTACACTGTAAAAAATAATTTTTCGGTGCCCCTCCCTCCCACAATGACTGTTTATCTCACTTTTCACAAAATCAGTATTAATGATTTTGCTACTACAGTGTTGTACATTTTTTTCTTATTACTTTCAACAGTTCTGTTTACTAGTTCATGTGACCAAACCTGAATTACGAGTTTTGATACTCCTCAACCCTAACCATACGTACATACCTGGATACCAAACCTGTATTTGTAGCAGCAACACACTACTATTCTTTTTTCCCACGAATTTGAATTATGCTTTCTATGCTATCCACCTTCTTACCTGTATTTTATTACGCCTCCTAGAGAGATTACTTAATAATTCTCTGAAGTACTGACCGTTTCAAAGGGCAGCATCACGAACAATTAATCTAATCATAATGGCATTATTGCTTGGCAAAGTTAGTGTTTTTTTTATTTTATTTTATTGATTCATTATGAAATAATACCTTATTAACAAAAAAGTAACATGGGAAAGTAACTTTTTCCGTCCATTTATATGCGATGTGTATTCTATTCAACTGTTTTTTTTGTTTTTAACTAAAAGTTTAATTAAAAGAAAACTGGATACTAGCATTTAGTAATCTTTTAAAATTAACCATTTTCAATTTGTTTTACAATAACCTTAAAAAAAAAGCTCATTGATCGAGTGAGCGTAAAAAAAGACGTCTACTTTAAAAAGCGATAACTCAAGCAAGGAGTTTTCCAGACATTGAGTGAGACCCTTGCCTTTTCCGCTTTTTTTTTCTTCTCTAAATTCATCTTTCATCCCGATAGCAATATGGGTAATAATATTATTAGTCGTTGTTCAACTTAAGTTTTCACAAGCTCTTTCATATTTCCTACATTTTAAGAAAGAACCTAAGCTTAAAATAAAAATGTGTCGTACTTTTTACCATATAGCCACTTTCTCTAATCGCATGATTATGGATACTATACAGCATAAGAGATTTATTTCGTGTTTAAGCTTGAACCTAAGTCGTGTCTGAAATTTCGACAGTTTTAAATGTGACTTAAAACACGTTCTCTTAATTGGCTGCACTATGAATGATCAGAGAAGATTCGTATTCTCTCTCGATTCTGATCAAAGATTTGTCGTAAAACTGACTTTTTTTTTATTTTTTTAAATGAAATTCAACACCTTTTTTTAGTCACTGCTCTGGAATAGTACAAATTTTTATCAAAAAATACTACAAAAATCAACTGCTGCGGATGTGATGTGAAAAAACTTCACTAGCTGCTGGTAGGTTCAAATCCGAACCAGCTAGTTAAAAGAAATTTAACAAAAAGAGTTAGGACATCTCTAGATTAAAAATATAAATATGGTAAAAAAGTAAATAAGAACAATTGAAAATTGAAATCAAAATTGCAATTTTGTTTTTTATATTGAATTGAAGAAAAAAAAATTTTTTTTCTATGAAAAAAAAAATATCACTTTAAGGCTAAGTGATTTAAAACTAAAATCAAGTGTAGATATTGGCATCACTTCTTTCCACCGTTGATATTATGAAGGTGCTGAAAAGTTTTCGTCTCGACCGAGAAGGGATTCTCCTGAAAATTCTGGTCATTTTGTCAGATTTTTAAGAAGTGGGTCGGCCGAGAACTTTTCAGCATGCCCCTAGTATTGGCATTGTATGGTATTATAACTGCTAAGTGCTATGATGCATTTGATTACACGTGACGTTAGTAGATGACAAAAGGAAAGGTGCATGCTTTGTAATCAGATATCTGCTACTAGTATCTATTTCCTTTCTGCTCTCTCATCATAGATTCTCCTATCCACCTACCCTCCTACTTACCCCATTTTTAATACTAGCGATCATCTCAAA